CTTGTTTATCTACTATGAACAAACAAGGTTTCCTGCAAGACTTTCCAAGAAACAAAAATAAACATATAACCTGCATGTACACAAACAGGGTGTAATGCTTGTGAAGCTACAATCCTACAAAGCATGTTACCCTAACTACATTAAAACAGACAAAAACTTTCTGAAGATCATTTCCACAATGGATAAGGCTCATTGCACACACACAAAACAGAGTGGCTAACACACCTGAAGCATGAAAAAACCCATCATTTTCAGACTTTGTTTTCTGTGCCCTTTGTTGCTAGAACACAGTCCTATGCGTTAGAGGTAAAAAGGTCCTGATTTCTTAAGTCAATAAAAGGAATCTAAACTTTCTTCCACACATCTGAAAGAAAAAGCTAGAATAAAACTTGCTCCAGTCTCAGGTTGGTGCCTGAAAATAGAGCTTTCATTATTTCTTATGTAAGACTACATAACAAGCTATATAAAACACAAATACAATTTCTTTCTTTAGAGGAGTCTGCCTTTGTCTAACAGTGAGTCAGCATCATCTGACAGATCAATTTTCTGTAAGTGTAGGATGTGGATTTTGCATATCACGCTTTCCAAGGGCACCTGTTGGAAACTTGGGTCACTATAGCATGGAATTTCACACCACATGTAAGGGTCAACTCATTGGCCTCCCAGTGCAGAAACCTACATCACAAAATCTAATCAGTAAGAATGAGGCTGATAACAGATACCTCAAGTTTTCTGTCCTCCAGAACTGCCTTTCTAGAAAGGGAACAACAATATTCCTTAATATTTTCTTTATTATTTCAATTTGTCTAGTATCCATCATTCAGGTCAGAAGGGACCTCAAGGGGTGTCTAGTTCAACCTTCTGCTCTAAGGTGAGTCAGCTGTGAGGTCAGATGAGGTTGCCAGAGCTTTATCCATCCAAATCCTGAAAAACCTCCCAAGATTTCCAGCTTTTCTCAGGACCATGGTCCAAAACTTATTTGTCCTAATATTGAAAAAGCTTTTCTGTGTCACCAGTCTGAACCTCTGTTGTTTCAGTTTATGTTCACCATCCGTATTTTTTTACTATGCACCATTGTGAAGAATCTGGCAATGTCTGCTCCCTATCCTCCCCACACGTGTGGGCAGGCTGCTGTTAGGTGCCCCCAAAGCCATCTCTTCTCTCAGCCTTGCTTCCTCAGCTTCCCCTCATGAGGGAGGTGCTCCAGCACCTGGAGGTAGCCTTCTACTGCACTTGTAGTTTATCAACATTGTTCCGATGCTGGGGGACCAAAACTGTGGAGTGTGTTCCAGATTCAGGCTGAACACATGCTGAGCAGAGGACAGTGATCACTTCCCTCAATCTACTGGCTGCAATCCTGCCAATACAGCCCAGGATACTGTTGGCCTTTTTTCTTGCCAGGGTCAGCTGCTGGCTCATGTTTAGATTGCTGTCTGCCAAGACCCCTAAGGCCATTTGAGCAGAACTTCTCCCCAGCCAGGCAGTCTCAGGCCCGTATTGTTGCAAACTCCCAAAACCTTTTAATACCAATTTTGCACAGACCACCAGGACACCCACCCTCCCCATGCCACACACAGCAAAAGGTCCTAGATCTCCAAAGATGATCTGTAAGCCAGGATTAACTTCTTAAGCACATGAGGCTAAACTATTTGTTACTATACTTTTTTTTCCCCAGTAACTTTAAAAACAAGTGTACGAATTCCTCCATATTCTTGTATCTGAAAATGAGAACAGCTGCTGCGTGTTCCTTTCCCCTGGGCATGATTGTTTATAGTAAAGAATACTAGCCTTTGATCAGCTGCTTATATTTACTAAATTGATTCCAGCATCTTTGCCAGTGGGCTGGATTCTCAGCATGAGATGCTCCTGCTCATTTGAAGTGGTTGAGATTGTTTTTCGATGGAATTTTCCACTATGCTCTAAGCTGTCTTTCTTCAAAGCACAATTTGTTCACTGGGCAGGACTCCTTCCTCCAATGTAATATGCAGAACCATTTTATATCTTGCTCAGTACTTTTGTTTTCTTCTCATGATGCTATACTTCCATTTATTCTCATCACAACCAAAGTTTCCTTTTACAGCTTCTCTTGCATGTAACCTGATACATTTGTTAGCAGCCATTAATTTTTTTTTTTCCCCTCCCCCACCCTTCATCTCTTCAGTATTACAAGTCTGGAATCAGTCAAGTCTGCTCAGGGAAGACTTCCTTCTCTGTGCCTTATTTTGACATTTGCCTTCCCCCCTTCCTGGTGATTAGTACCATTATACACTGGTTTTTAAACAGGGAAGTTTAAACCCCAGAGCAAAGGCTGGACAAATCACCACATCTGTGATAGAGGGGAAATTAATTCATATCTCCAAGCCCCAAACTAATGCTTTGTCTGTAATACAGCTGTAGTAAATTGGTGCTTTTTCCCTTCTTCATGTCAGAGCCCAACAAAAGATAGACAACCTCACTGCCTGAGCTGCAGACTGTGAAAGAACAAGTAAAGATTTACAACAGCTAGTCCAGCAAGACAACATACAAGAACAAGTAAGGTTGTGCATCTTACAGTACTACTCAGTCACTGAAATATGACATTATTTCTCCAGGAAAAAGAGCAATTTTGGCTCTCTTGCTTTCTGGTGTTACTTGTTTTTAACTGTATTACACATTGCATCACTTAAATTGCCAATGTTCACTAAACTAGACACAGGTAAAGTACTGAAAAATCCAACAAACTTACTAGGGAGCTTATACCTCTGGTTAAGGTTTACTTCCAAGTGTAATTAACTGTTTGACACTGATGCACACTTTAACATAAAGTGGGCTAGCATATTAAAATAAACAGCAACTAAAAGAAAAAGCTTCTACAGATAGTCTCAAGCTGCCAAAATACAGCAGTTTACAAGTACGAAAAATAGAGAGATGAAATTGAAACATGTACACCATCTACCCCAGAAAAATTACCAAGTCTGAAGTGACGCACATGTTAAGCTATACCAGGGAATCTACTATGAAGATCTAAACCCTTTTCCAACAACATACTCAAACTGAGGCATCTCAATACAAGAAACCAAAACCAAGCAAACAGAACCCAAGAATTGAATTCTGAGTTTTCTCAGTTCATCAGTTTAAAAGCAAACAAGCAACAACAAAATCTACCCCCCAACGAACTTGAGATGCGCTGGATGCAGTTTTTCTAGGTAAAAAAAACAAGAACAAAGAAAACCAAAACAAAACCAAAAACCTTCCAAACTCCATGATTGACTTCAAATGAAAATCTGGCCCCTCAAACCTTCCAAGACATGGGCTTACTTACATGGCTCCGTAAATTGCCACAGCCCAGTTATTTTTAATAAAGATCCTGTTACACAACTGAGGTTGTGCTGTAGCCTGTTCACCTCCCCAACTGGTTCTCCTTCTGTAGAATCTGGATTGTACAAGAGCCTCACAATAGCAGACTAGATTTAGGACTGCCAATAGGCAAAAGTTACAAAATAATACAAAACATTTAATTAAATACCAATCTGATTAAATGAGTCAGATGTAGTATTTGTTACACATAGGAACAGCTTTGTATATTTTAATATCCAAAGCAGGCTGTGTACAAGATATATCCTGGGCTATGTTACACTCTTCCTTGTACTGGTGCAGTCTAGTGAGTGGCTGGATCTAATTCCTGAAGAATCAGCATGCTGAAGACATACCTGAATTGCTCCTATTTGTCTACATGCAATAGCAACACACATAACTTCCAGGTTAATGACAGTACATTCAACATATAGAAGTAGGTAGCTTTGATCAGGAAATGAACAGATGAGGCAATAAACAGCATCCTACAGTAATGCCAGGCTGCTAACTCAAAAATACAGAAAATTACTAAGTTCAACTCCAAGCTCATGCACTGAACCCTACATTACCTGGTGTTCTGCTTTTGTTTTGTTCTCTTTTTCCAATACAAAAAGAGATGCTGGTGTTTCTGTAGTTCTAAAATGAGGAGCAAAAATTTATTCAGTGAGTGATTCAGTGTGTGGAGATAAAAACAAAAAACTCTCTAGAGCATGTTGGGGATGACAGACCTCTTGCTGTTTATGATCACAGCATTCATGTGGCAGGCACTGCTTACACTGAAAAGCAACATTACCTAATAAGTTATTTTCAGTTTCTTCATTGCTAATTTCTTCCCAGTCATGCAATGTTTCCTCATTACTGCCTGCTTTAGAGGCATTCACTAGCTGCCACAAACAACACAGAATATCAGAAGAAACAAAGAAATGGCATGAGCAAGTAGGAGTAAGTATATCGGTGGCAATAATGGAGTCACAGACCCATATGTGAATTATAAATAATAATAAATGCCAAAATAAAATACCTGCAGACTTTTTTTTTCTTCAATGAAATGCCAATGGCAAGAACATTTACTCTGCAAACATTAGAGCATACTTACTCCTTTACTTGCTGTGCAAAGGGTGGTGAACCAGGCAAGAAGTATCACAAATGTTTAATTACCATTTCTGTTAATGAAAACAGATGGCTACCACTGTATTCACATCATTGTCTAGCACTGTCTCCACATAACTCCAGAAACTTCAAGTGTGTCTGTGTTTGAGCTTTACAAAAAATACATAAAGAACATAAAAGTTTGAAATTAGAAGTGAGTGAGTTACATAAGTATTTTCCTTCTGAATTCCCTTTAGGGATTAAGGCCTGTGTAATCAAGATAACAAATCAGTCTGAGGTCAGACATACTTATGCACAGAAAAGAAAGCTCAGAAAAGCCAAGGAAACATACATCAATACACCCAGTTCTCCAACAGAGGCACCGATTCTACAGTAGCAGCGTTTCTCACGCAAAACCCGAGTTTTGAGCTGCGATAAAAGCCACTGTTGCCGATGCTCAGAGCCTTCAGAGTCCCCCAGAGCCGGGCTGGGTGCCAGAGCTGCCGGTGCAGGCAGCTGGGTGTCCCCAAGGCCAGAGGTCCGCCCTGCGTTCGGCGGGGCCGCGCTGCCCCCTGGCGCTAAGGCTCCGGCAGGGGCTGGCTGTGCGAACCGCTCCGGGTCTTCAGCTGAGACTGGGCGATGTCGGCCAGGGCGCTCTGGATCTTCTCCAGCAGCATATCCCCGCGGTAAACTACCTCTTCCAGACGGGCAGCCGCTTCGTGATTTTCTTCTTCTAATCGATACAGACTAGCAGCCTTTAAAATAAAAAGGGAGAGAAGTCAGGATCTTTAAATGTAATACCAACACTGATTTCGCTGCTGAAGGGTGGTGCTGGGATAGGGTTAGTGCTCCCTGACAAAGGGAAAGCTTCTTGTTTAGCCCCTGATTCAATACAAGCAACCTCTAAGCAACTCATGATAGGTTCAAGTCTAAAACACAGTTCATATCCACATGGAGCAAACAAAAAAAAACAACCCTAAATGGAGATGCTACTTTCTTTCATATTACAACTCTCAGCTTAGCACATTATCTTGATGAGAAGTGTTTATCCCCATCCCTACTGCCTTAATGAAAGATGCTCAGTAAGATGTAGGCATAACTTATTTGAACTTTCCTTAAATGGTATTTAACCATTTTCCTCCAATATTTTGTTTCAGAACCAAACTGACAAAATTTAGCAAAACAGAACATTTGAGCTTCAAAACTCAGGCTGCCTTCTGGAAGAGCAGGAGTTAACAGAGAGCATTTGTCCTCCCTCTTACACCCAGCCCAGCCATAAACTGTGACAGCTTAAAAAGTAACAGGGGAAAACCCCAAACAAACCCACAACAAAATAGTTAAACCGGCAAATTCTAGCCACATATTCATCTTCTGTTCCACAACACTGTCTTTTAGTGAAGGTTAACATTTGCAAGAAGGACTTGATAGCTCTTGCAGGAAGGGTCAGAGAAAGAAAATGGCAAAAGGTAAAAGCTTGAGGTTTAGAATCCAGCTTAATTACTTCAGTCTCAGTTGTTTAACAGTTGGCTGTAGGTAAGCCACAGATTTGAACAGAATATGTACTACTAACTTCCCATAAGTGAACTAAAAAGGGACGGGTAAACTGTGTGGGGCATTAGGCAGCCCCTTTTTATTGTTTAAAACAAGCCTCACATTTGCAACACATACCAAGACAATTTTAGCACTAACAAAATTAAAAAGAAAAAGTACATCAGCCTAAGTACATATCTATTAGCCAAATATCTATCTACCACTTTTCACCAAAATCCCTACTGCGTATTTTAGAATATTTCAAGCACCTTCAAAACAGAGTATTTTTCTTTAATACAGCATCAGATTAAGCAGCAGAAAACAGAAGTTAAAAGTAGAATCAGTAAGTGACAGAATCCAAGCTAAGTTATCACAAAACCACATCAAGCATAAAAGATCAGGCAATCTTCTGAAATGAAGTTCTCCATTAACAGAGCAAGAAACTTAAAGAGTATCACTTCCAAGGAAAACATGTCCCTTCTGGATAACCAGCTCTTCTTTCTGGAGCACCTTGCTTTTCCTGTATCAGCTGTCACTATCAGACCCTGCTCAATCATGGAAGCTTATGATTTGTCTGCACCCAGAAAGCTGTCTTCAGCTGTGCAGTTAGGTGAAATGATGCTGGAGTTAATGGGCTCAATTAGTATGTTCAGCAATTATTGTGACTCGCAACAGTTCCAAATTTAACCTCCATCATTTAAAAACAAATGTCATGTCACTGTCAATTTATTTGTATTTGGACCAGCAGGAACCTCTAGTATTAGTTTTTTGTAAAATGACTTTCAAAAGTAACAAGATTATCAACCCAGGTGTACAACCTTGAAGAGACCTTATAGCAGTTCCAGAGTTCTCAGAGAAACACCACTCTGCATCCATGATGCATTAAAAAAAGAAAATACTTGATGTAAATCCGTAAGTCAGAGGCGGGGGGGGGGAAGCTGTGAAATAGGCAAGATCTGTAAAAATAACAGGGGGAAAAACCCAAACCAGACAAACCAAGAAGCCACAACACAGCAGTATTCTTTGAATTATGGATCCAAGGCATTTCTTGGAATTGAGATCAACAGCTGAGTATTTTGAAAGGACTCAGAAGCTGTTTGAAGCAGCTCAACTCTTGTAAGGACAGGAACAGACAACATCATACTGGCTGCACCTGCTAATAGCTGCCCAGCCAGTAGCTGCTTGCTATTATTCCTGAGCTCTTCCTAGAGTACTCTGGTATAAACAGAGGAGGAATGAACAAAAGCACCACGTTTGACTGGTCCAAAGAAGGACACCCTGAAAACTGAAAGAACTGTTTAATGATCTAATTAGAGAACTTAATGGATACCCTGCAAACCCTTTAACAACCAGAAACATTGTGGAATAACGAAAGGCTTCAGTGAAGCGTTGACTCTGCAGCTACAAAATGAAATGTGCCTCTAATGAGCTGGAGAATATGAAAACAACAAAAACCCCACTATAAATCACCACTGTTGCATTTATTATATTAATAATCTGAACAGCTGGGAAAAAACAACAAGGGTAGTAGCTTCCAGTACGGTGGTGTTATGATAAAAGCACTTTTTTTGGGAAAAAATTCTAGAAGAAAAGTAAGTCCAAGATGCAATTTCAGTATTTCCACTAAGCCTATAGAGTACTCAAGCTATCCTTGTGAAAAATTCAGGCTTATATTAAAACTGTTCTTCAAGATTACAGGGCCTGGAGACTAAAAAATGTGTTTAAAAGAATAAAGTTTGCCTTCAGTTAGGTTTCGGTTAACTAAAAGAAAAATAAATATTACCTACCTGCAAAGCTGCTGTTGATTCTTCACTAGGCAGAGAATCTATTAAAACATCAATATCTTTGGCAGTTCGTGCAATCAATGCTGCAAACAGTTGGGCGTACTCTTTGAAAAAGAAAAGTCAACCCACTCAGTACATTATTAGAAACACACACCTTTATGCATACACAGCACAGAAAATGCTTGAGACTTGAAGCATGCAGGTTTCAAAACTCCCCTACGTGAAGTAAACAACAGTATCACAGCTGATGGCAGCTCAATGATATTGGGAGATGCAGGCAGTTTGATTCCAATGCTAAATTAAACAAGGTTATTCAAAGGGCTGGGCTTTGTACAAATGAGAAAATAGCTAGAACTCATCATGAGCAGCCAGTTAAGAAATTACTGGTCCCAATATTAAATGCCCTAGTAACAGTATTAACTAATTTAACTTTTCAATCCCTGCGTTGAAATCTGCCACTAGACAAAAAAAAAAAAAAAAGAACACTAGAAACAATGTAAAGATACTGATTCAAATAGATGAATTAACTAAATCACGTTAAGCAACAGATCATTAGTGAAAAAAAGCTGAGTTTTTAAAATTTAAATAAAAAGAATTCCTAATTCCTTTTCAGCCACAGAAAAAGTTAAATGGCCCCTGAGACATGAAAAAGCCCTACTTGGCTGCTCTATCATTGAAGGAACTCCATGCAGTTTTAATAAGAGGCACTGTAAGCCAGAAACAAAACCTTTCCATATGGAATTGCAACCATTAAATTTGAATTAAGTCCATTACTCCCTCTGAAATATTGAAACTTTTCAGTTTATAACTCAAGATCTTAGTGTTTGTTTACGTGGTTTGGTTCATGAAAGATTTGTAGAAGCAAGAGAGAAAACACTTTCTACTGGCAAAAATCTATAGAAGAGATTAACATTTTCAAAGGTTCACTTGACTTTAACTTAAAAAAACCCCAGACAACAAAACCAAAATACTCATGTAAAGCTTACTCAGGGGTCACCAAAAAGTTTGCCTGTAAAGAGTTTTAAAGTCTTCTGAAGACTTTAAGTATCTAAAAACATAACTGGAAGTTTTGCTTTGCCTCATCAGTGTTGCTCACACAGCTGTATGATATTACTGAAGTTAGTATATACAGAATTTCAGGAAAAGACAAATCAAAAGCCAAGTCAATCACAACCTACCATTTTAAGACCTTAACAAAGCCTCTAACTCCTGGCACTACACTTGATGCCAGCACCTGGGGCAGCAGCAAGTAAGATGAGGAAGCAAACAAGCCTTTTTCAGCTGGCTCTTCCAACTAATTCCAGTGTCAGAGAGCAAACCACCATAGACAAATAAAGAACCAGTATTCAACCACCCCCACAAGTTCATTGCTGCTCTCCAAACCAGTCTCCCCTGATATCCTAACAGAGCAATGCAAACGTAACCCAATACAAGACATGTAAAAAGTTCTGGTAGGAGGGGAGAGAGGAAAAAAGGAGAAACATTCAGAATTAGAACAACATGGTTATTTAAATATTAACTTGAAATTGTCAAATCAGAGAGAACTTTTAGTTTGCTTGCCAATTTCAGCGTCCTAGATCAGTTTCTTGTTTTTTAAAACATGACCAAAACAGCCAACAAGAAAACCACAGATGCCAATGGGGAGACTCAACATTACATTCTTTCTTGATTACTTAGATATACAGATACACAGAGAGACACAAATAATTAGAATTTATGCTATGGAGGATTTTGAACTCATATATGACTTCATAAAACTAACACTAATTCTTTCTAAAAAACCTTTATTGTCAACTCAGTAATAACCTCTTGCAGCAGGTCTACTGAGGTGGTTTGTATCTGTAGAGCTACTGTATCTGTGCAAAGAAATCAGCACAAGAAATACACCGTAATACTTAACACTTAAAATTACACTTCTGCTATCACAACCTTAAGCAGCTGACAAATTCATCAGTTAATCGGTTCAATCACTTCTCCAGTTCCTGGTGGAACTGGAGCAGGAAACAGACTGCAGAGCCCGCATGAGGGTGCACGGTGTAAGGACGCGCACACACGCTGTCAGGGTGTGCATCGAGACTTGCCTTCCGTTGGGTTGGCAGGCTGGTCTTTGTTGATGGCCGTCTGGATGTTGCTGAAGGAGGCCGGGGGCCCACACTGCTGCAGCACGCCGATGGCGTTACAGAACTGGTCTGCCAGCTGCAAAGCAGGAGAGACACCGGTCATTCCTTTCACCGCTAAAGCCACCGCAGTGCCATCCTGCGCCCCAGCAGCCCCACGGCCATCCCCTCTCCCGGGGGGCTCGG